AGGAAAGCAGTTTTTCTCACAAACCTGTCTCCATTTTCTCTGGGATTGTTTAAAAATTATGAGACAAATTGAATTTATACTTCCCACTGAGAAAGGACCAGGCCTAACTGGTTTTATCAGGAACTTAAGGCGTAATTAAAGTCAGTATTGTGCAAACTCTGCTAGGAAATAGAGGAGGGAATACTTAACAAACCATTTTATGAGCTCAGCACAACTGAAACCAGACAAGGATATTAAAGAATGCAAAATCACAGACCACTATCCCTGAAGAACACACACAGGCCCACAAATCCACCACAGAATATTAGCAAATCCAAGCAGCAATATGCAATAGAACAGGAGGTCGCCAGTGTCTTGTGATGTGACCTTGGCATTTTACGAACTGCTCTGAACCCACTTTCCTCCTACACCCTTCCTGAGGACAGGGCCTGGAACATGGTTGATCACAAATTCTCCATCCCCTTCTCCAGGGCAGGCATGGGGGTTGGGCCAGTAGCAGGACTTCAGCCCACCAGGCAGGGCCATTGGATGAAAGAGCAGGGATGTTACCTGGATGGGAACAATCAGTTTCTCTCTTCTCTTGAATCTGGAGCAGACACACCTGGTGACCAAAGGCACAGATGACAGACCATGTTGGAGGCACCCACAGTTCCCAAATCAGACTCGACCCTGTGCCTCTGGTGCTGCCTCTCCCTTCAACAGAGTGAGGAGGGACGCTCAGCACCGCAGTCAGTCCCCACTTGCTTTGGCGGGCGCAAGTTGTTCTGTGGCTTGCCATCAGCTCTGCTAACACACACCAGAGGCTCATCACCCGGATTAGGAGAGAAGACAAGTGGAAGTGGGCGAGGGGGCAGCACACTGAGGTGCGGTCCCCTGACAACCAGGAGCAGATGTTGAATCCTGGGGGGAACGGTGCCCTCGGGGTGGGCAGTGGAGGCAGCAGCATGGACTCGGCAAGCAGCTCAAACTTCCCATGTTTCTGATGTCTGTCTGATTGCAGGGTGTTCCTTTCCTGTCACCAACACAGAGGAGTGAGGATAGACACTGTACACAGGGTGACTGGGTGTTGGATGCTGGACCGTGACAGTGTTCAAGGCTCATGTCTCTGTGCCTTTCCTGCCCAGAGTCTGGGTGAGCTGGTGAGAGCGCTCAGCATCCCCTCTTGGGTGCGTGGGAGGGTCACCCCGAGATCACCCTGCCCGCAGCAGGAAGGCTCTCCCTGGCCCACCCCAACCACAATGAAAGGCCAGGCTGGTCTCCTTTCTCTGCCCTCCAAAGCCGGTTTGGGGTCTGCTTGGTCTTTACTCACACAGCAGGCATGAGCAGGAAGGTTGGGGAAGGAAGGGGGTTTAGGAAGGTGCTCCTTCACCAGTCCACCCTGTGGACATGGTCAGGATGACTCCACACGGGACTGGCAGAGCCGAACAAGTGAGGACCTTCCAAAAGGTTGTGTGGGCCTGAGAGGTGAGGCACAAAAGGGACTCCAGTTGTGGAGGGGGCTGGTTTGTCTGCCTCTGGTCCAATCTCTCTGAGCTCAAAAGGGGTTAGGTGAGTTGAAGAAGAACTGCCAAGTCCTGTTTACCCTGGGCTCTGTGTTTGTCAGAGTCCCTGCCTTAAATGTCAATGAGGCTTCATATTGCTTGGACACTTGTGGGTTGGGGAGGTTCTGAAGGTGGCTGTAGCAGCTGAGCCACGAGGGTGGCCCCTCAGGCTGTCAGGGACGCCTTCCCCACAGACCCCTGTGCAGGACAGTGTTCCCAGCCCTCATATTGACCCCGAGCAGATCCCACTTGGGCAGTGTGTGGATCCTGGGGTGGGAAGGGCTGGTATCACGACTTCACTCCGCACGTTCAGGCCTCACTAGTGGCTGTGTGACTGGATGGGGTGAAGGGGTGGTGTTGCAGTGTCCCCCGAGTACATGGGCTGTTGAGCAGCAACCATAAGTAATGAGACAATGACAATGTTGGCCTGGACGTGGAGACTTTGGAAGCCCTGTGCACTGTCCATGGGATGGTTAAAAGAGAAAACCACCATCTAAAACAGTATGACCATCCTCAAAAATTAAAAATAGAACTACTACATGATGGAGCAACTTCACTTCTAGTTATAAATCAAAGGAATTAAAGCAGGTCAGGATGAGATCTGTTTTTGTGCGCCCATGTTCATTGCCACACAGCCAAGAGGTAGAAGACATGCAAGTGTGTATAGATGGATAAATGAAGAAACCAAATGCAATATATACAAACAATGGAACAGCCTTAATATGGAAAGAAATTCTAGCCCATGTTACACTGTGGACATGAACCTAAGGGCAGTCAACCACTCACAAAGAGACAAACACTGAATGAGTGCACTTGTAAGAGGTATGCCAAATAGTGAAGTTCATAGCAACAGAGAGGAGAATGGTGGTCACCTCTGCAAAGGAGAAAGGGGAAAAGGATTCTCACTTAATGGGTATAGAGTTTTCAATTGGCAGAATGAGAAGGTGTGGCGGCTCTCTTTCACCTCACGGTGAGTATACAGTCACCACTGCATTGTGGACTTAGAGTTACGGAGGTGAATTTCATGTCCAGTGTTAGTTACACAGTTTCACAAAGACAATGACAACACACACTAAACGTGGGAGAGGATGAAGAAGAACTGGATCTCTCACACATGGCTGGGAGAAATGTGCAGAGGTGTAGCCACTCTGGGAAACAGGTTTCAGGGCTAGAAAAACGGAATGTATACAACCATGCAATCCCCCCTCATGCTCCTGGGCATTGATCTCAGAGAGATGAAAACTTATGTTCACCCACAATCCTGAACACAGTTGTTCTTGTGATATGCATACTGGTTCATTTCTAACCCCAAAACTACAAGACAACGCTGATGTCCTTCAGGAGGGAATGCTCAGCAAAGGGTGATGTACGAACAGGAGGAGACTCCCTGGACAATAAGAAGGATGGAGCTACTGATACAGGGACAATAGGAGAGATTTGAAGAGTAATGCCCAGTGATTGAAGCTGATGGCAAAGATTAGGTGCTGCATAATTAGATGACTATGTAACATTCTTGAAAAGGCGAAATGACAGAGATGGAACAGAGAACCGTGGCAGTGGGGTGGGTGTGGGCAGGAAGAGGCAGCAGGAGGGAAACCTTCCTGGGGATGGCAGAGTCCTGTGTGTGGATGGAGGTGGTGGTCACAGCAGTGTACCTCATGGTGACAGGATGTGAGACTACAGCTGCACATCTCACAGTCACCGCCCTCCAATGGGACTGTGACTACAAAAGATGCACCACTGGGAAAGCAGAGGAAGTGTGGGTGGGACTTCTCTCTACTACCTTTATGATTCTCTGTGAACAAATAATTATTTCAAAATGACAGCTTCAATTTGAAAAAATGGTCATTTTTCCTGTTGTTTAAAGTTGTTGGAGTGACATCATTGAATATTTATTGGGAATTCAAATAAATGACTTATTTGGTCACAGGAGAAGAGAATGCAATGTGTTTGTCTTGCGTGAACATCTCAGAAACCTGAACTTCAGCCCCGAGCAGCCAGTGGGCACCCACTCATGCTGCTGCCCTGTGGCCAGTGTCACACTGAAAATCCTCCCTGTGAGCAGGGAGTGCGAACTTCTGATGAGCTTCCCGTCATTGTTCTGGGACCCTGAGGAGTAATTCAGCACTTAGTTCCACTAGAGGCCAGGTGTCAGCTCAGGAGCAGACTGCAACTTGTAACTGATGATCCTAATCACTTAACAGGGGACACACTGCACTGGGGACAGCAGCTTAGGTCCTGTGGACATGCCAGGCTGAGTCCCTGTGCACCAGGCAATTTGCGGCTTGGACAACAAAGTGTCTCATGCCCAGAGGGAGATGAGGTCACTGGGCCCCTCCTCATAACCCCGATCCTGCTGCTGCCCAGCAGCACAGCTGAGAGCAGCCCCCCTGCAGGGACCTGCTGAGGAGACAGGCTGTGGTGAGGATGCCAGTGTGACTGGCGGCTCGGGCTGGCAAGAGATGGTGAGTGTTTCCCAATTTCTGCTCCTCGCTTGATTCTCGTCATTCCACAGGTGACCTCAGTCTTATATCTGTGTGCCCTCTGTTTCAGCTTGCTGCTTTCTATTCACTTTTGTGCACAATCAGGCTTTTTTTAAATACCAGCTTTTAGAATTTCTTGTTCACTTTTTTCCTTTCTTTACTGGCTAATTTCCCTTTTTTGTATTTTTTCTCCTTTTTAATTTTCTGCTTTGTGTTCATGGTTATTTTCAGTTTTCTTCTTGACATGGATTTCAAAACCTCGCCCAGCATAGAACTGAGACACTTTTCGTGAGTTCATTATGTTCCTCACACACACTGGACTACGGGCTGGAATACATTATGTGGCGATGCCCTGATCTGCCCCGGACTCTCTCCCTGACCAGCCCCCCGTGGCCGGTCCCCACGTAAGGGCTCTCGTCTCTACAGGCATCTGTTTCCAGTCCTGGCTTCTCTGTGTTGGCTGCACATCCTGTTTGGTTTTTATTCACTTGTTCTCAGGGCCTCGTTTAAGTACCTGACAGTGTTTCATGTCTTTCAGGTGCACGTTTAACCCTTTTCCTGACCAATAATTATATGTCACTTTCTTCATTGCTCTATTTTTCTGCTCCTGTGGCATGTGTTGGTCCTTTTTGCTGCTGTTTACAGTTTTCTGCTGTCTCTAAGATTTTTGCTACTGTAGCATATTTTCAGAAGTGTAACTGTTGTTCTTCTTTCTTCCTGGTTTTCCTTTTTTTATGCTCAAGTCTATTCACTTTAAGTCTAAATTCACTTGCAAACCCTAATCCACTCTGCATGCCAGAATTTGAAGTTACATTTCTAACAAATTACTTTCTTCTCCATAGGGCTTGTTATTACATTCCCTCTACATTTATTTATCCCTGAAACTTGACAAACTACTTCTCAGTCTTAATTGTTTTTAACACTTACATTCACAGTCAAATTATTTGTCTCCAGGATATGCTATCCCTGGCTGGAACATCTAAGAGAGACCACCATTCCATGATTTCCAGAGACACCCCGTTTGGGGTCTTCCTCACCATTCAAACTGGAGTTGGTTTCCTGGGGAACTGCTTGCTGTTTATGTTATACATGTACACCCTCTTCACTCTCCCCCATAAGAAGAAGCCTGCTGATGGGATCCTTGCCCACTTAACTTTGGCTAACAGCCTGACCGTCCTATTCAGAGGGGTTCCAAATATAATTAGTTCCTTTGGAATGAGGCCTGAGATAAGTGACACTGAGTGTAAACTTGTTCTCTACATTCAGAGAGTTACCCGGGGTATTTCTCTGTGCACCACCTCCCTCCAGAGCTTGTTCCAGGCCGTGACCATTGCTGTAAGTGGTTGTAAATGGGCCTGGCTCAAGAACAACATCTCCAGACTCATTCAACCCTCCATATTTTTCTGCTGGATCATCAACATGGTCATGTATTCTGAGGTTATCTTAAAAACTGTGGCCAATAGAAATATCAGTGATATTACATCTTTTTATCATAGTCCTTTTTGTAAGGTCAGTATGTATGATCACTACGTGGCTGTGACATTTCTCAGTAGCATGATTATTCAGGACTCATTGTTTCTCTCCCTGATGGCATGCAGTAGTATCTACATGGTGACTGTCCTTACCAAACACCACAGGACAGCTCAGAGCATCCGCAGCAGCGCCCGCTGCTCAGGAAGCTCTCCTGAAAGCAAAGCCACCCAGGTCATCCTCACACTGGTTTGCTGCTTCGTTTTCTTTTACTGGACCAATAGCTTTCTTACTGCTTATTCACACTTTGGAAATAAGCTGAATTGGCAACTGGAGAACATTAATAACTTTATTTCTTCGTGTTACCCTACCATCTGTCCTTTCATCCTGATGAAAAATGAGAAAAGAATTTTCAGAGTGAATTTCTTCAATAGTAGGACAAGAATTTTTTCGTTAAAGTAAATTAAATGATCCTATGAACACTCCTCAGCATTCGTCTGGAGGAGAAGATTCATTTATATGCGTCCAGAGTCACGTGGTCTCCAATGGCTGGAGGGATGTATTGAGTCCTCATTGTGCTGAGTTAATGGGAAGTAAAATCAATGCATTGCCTATTTATGAAACTTTTCAGACATTACATGTAATGTTTAGATTATAACACTATTATACATGGTTTAACATTTAAAACAATAACATATGCAAAGTGTTGGGAACTGCTCTGCCTGGTTTCAGGAGTTGTAACTGCCCCCCCCATGGCTAAGGCTGAGTTAGGGACCTCCAGAATATGAACCACTAAGGAGACAAAGCTTGTCTCTGGTGGCAAATGCTGCTTCTGCTTCTCCCCTGCCCCCAATGCTTGGTCAGTTAATCAGAGACGGGTAAGACCCCTCAGAGGGGGGGCAACCTAAGCCCCAGACTCGATCACTTGGGAGGCCATCATGAAGGACTGGGGGGGCTGCAACAAAGCGGGAGTGATGGACCCTCGCCCCCACATAGCCCAAGTCCCCGTGTCCTCTGGGAGAAGCGCTTCCTGGCTCTAATCCACTTAAGCCTGAAAACCTATGATGGAGGAGGTGGTGCAGTCCTCTGCCAGCTAGAGCGGGATTCAGGGTGATTGAGCATAAGAAAGAATTCCTAAAGTCCTGTGAAGCCTGCTTTGCTAAGAGTGCTTTCATTTATATGATAAGGGTCTGAGCAGGAAATGAATACATCTCCCAAAGTTTCTGCAACCCCCTTACCTGACAGACACTGACTCAGACTAAACCGTCAGATTTCTTTGAAATGTTACCATTTGATCCTTGCCGCCTGTATTCCTGTGTATTAGAACCCAATAAAAGCCACTGAGGAAGGGGCTCCTGTCCTTTCTCCTCTGAGAGATTGGCCACCTCTCCTCCCCAAGCAGATCATGTCTTGGTAGTTTCACTTTCATTCGTGGAGGATGGGGGGACTTGTGGGCAAAGTTGCCCCCACAGTAATGTGTAGTGTTTTGTAATATTGGAAACACTATAAAATCATATAATTATAAAAACTGATAAACCAACAGATGAGCAGTGTTTTCTTTTGAGTGTAAGTTCATTATAACCCTAAATTAGGTGATGAAATATATGTGTGTGTTACATCGTACTCTATACTTTAGTATATTTTAGAAATATTTTTGGTTTAGTTTTTAAAACAAAATTCTTTAGATGTGTACATCAATTCAGAAATGCCTTCAAACTTGCAATAATTATTTACCTGCGGCATGGTAGAGCAAGGACACTGGGGATATATACCATTTTTCACTAGGACTGTTGAGCAAATGGGCAAACCGGGGCTTTGAACATTCCAGATTAAAAGAACAAGGAGTCTGGAAGGTCGATGCTCGAGATGTAGGGACCTCCTCTGGGCAGAGGCAGATGGTGGGCTTCTCAGTGTCACCAGTCCCTTCAACAGGCACATCCTAAGCATGTAGAATAGTGGCAGTGTTTGTGTCAGACGGTTTGGGCTTAGTGTGAAGGGTAGAGTTGAAGTTCAGGTTTAGGTTTGAGGTTAGTGTCAGACACCAGTTAGGGTTTGGATTCCGGTTAGGATTAGAGTTGGGGTTAGGGTAGGGACCAGGGTTAGAGTTAGGGTTAGAGTTGGGAGTGCAGGTTTGGGCTGGAGCCAGGGCTGAATATATGGCTTAATGTTAGAGATTATGGTTGGGTTTGGTGTTAGGGTTTGGGTTAAGGTCGTGTTCAATTCCTTTTTTATTTGTGCTTTTGACTTCACGTTTAAGAATGTTTTGCCAATTCAAGATTATTGTGTTTTACTTCTGTTTTGTTATATAGTTTTATAGATTTGCTCTTACCTTTGGATCTGAGATGTTTTGCGTTACTTTTAAAGTTAGGTTCCAATTTTCTTTTATTTTTAAATCTTCAACCAAGAACATGCTTATTGATTTTAGATGGAAATAGAGAGAAAGAGAGAGGGGCAGAGAGAGAGAGAGAAACATCAATGCGAGAGAGGAACATCGACTGATTCCCTCTCGAATACCCCCTGACTGTGGGCTGAGTCTGCTACATAGGCATGCCCCCTGACTGAGAATGGAACCCTCGGCCTTTCAGTTTGGGGAACCATACCCAACCCTCTGAGCCACACCAGTCAGGGCATCATGTCTTTTTTAAAAAATGGACATCCCTTTGTGCCCTCATCTATGTTTTAAAGTCCATTCTTTTCCTGATTAACGTTCTTAACACCCTTGTGAAAAATAGTTGACTATAGATCACAGGCGGCAAACACAAGGCCCACGGGCCAAATCCAGCCCTCCACCTTGTTTTATCCCGCCTGGCACCTTGTTTCTACCTGGCAGCAGCGCCAAGCTCTCACTTAACTGTTAGGAGCAGTTACATGTACACAGCCCTAAAGTTACATTCGGCCCTATGAACCTCGAGGCTGATGTGGCCCCCGGTGAAGATGAGTCTGACAGCTTTGCTCTGTATGGTCATTTTGTGCTTCCTTATGTTCCATGTCATTGATTTGATTCTTGGCTTCATCCACTCTACTGTTGTTTCCCTGTAAATTGTTCTTTATTTCAATTAGTGTATCCTTCTTTTCTGACTGGGTCTTTTTATGCTGTTGACACCCTCACTAAGTTTCTTGTGCATCCTTATAACCAGTGTTTTGAACTCGGTATCTGATAGATTGCTGATCTCCATTTCATTTAGCTCTTTTCTGGAGTTTTGATCTGTTCTTTCATTTGGGCCATGTTTCTTTGTCTCCTTGTTTTGGCAGCTTCCCTGTGTTCGTGTCTATGTGTTAGGTAGAGCTCCTTTGACTCCTTGTCTTGGTAGTGTGCCCTAATGTAGTAGGTGTCCCCTGGGTCCAGTGGCACAGCTTCCCCTACCACCCAAGCTGGGTACTCAAGGTGTGCCCTTTGTGTGGGCTGAGTACACCCTCCTCTTGTAGTTGAAACTTGGCTGCTCTTGGCAGGTCAATGGGAGCGATTTACCCAGGCCAGTCAGCTGCAAGGATTGGCTGTGACCACTGACCACCAATCTCCACCCTCCCTGGAGGATCAGCTGTGCAGGGGCAGGGTGGTGGTGCTCTGATGTAGTCTGTAGTTGTCCGCTGGGTGTGCTTGCCCTGGGTTTCCCAGGTGGTGCAGGCCAAGGTCAGCCCCCACCTGTGTTTTGCCTGGGGCACCCTGCCTGAGTTGTAATCTGAGATGGCTGATGCTTGTGCTGGGTGGGTCCCAGGTAAAGCCAACCTGTGCTTCGAATCTGGCTATTGCTAGGGCTCCCTTCAACCAGCTGGTGCTTGTTTCATAGGAGTTAGGAGCCAAGACCAGACATTCTTATGGAAAAGCAGCTAGGGTGAGCCTGTAAATTGGGTGGGGTGCAGTTTTTGAGAATCTCTAAAGCTGTCAAACAGTGTTAGCCAGGTTGATGAAGTCTCATTTATGACACTAGCTTACCAGCTCTTTGGGGTGAGGGTTTAGCAAAGGGACAATGGCCCCTGCTCCCCTTATGCTAGACACCTCAGTTTCCCCCCTACATACCACTGGTATCTTTCAAGCTGCTACCCCCGGTGCTGAAGCTCAGAGGGTGTGAGTCTGAGTAGATGAGTCTGTGTGTGGTTTCTCTAAGAAGAACTGCTTGGGGCACCAGAAGTTGCTTCCCTTGATTCAATTCCGCACTGGTTTTTGCAGCCAGAAGTTGTGGGGACTTATCTTCCTGTCACTGGAACCTGGGCTGGGGGGCCTGGCGTGGAGCTGGGACTCCTCACTCCTGAGATATCCCTCCTGAATGTTTATTCATGACACATGAATCGTCTGCCTCCCTCCTACCAATCTGGATGGGTGTGGATTCCTTAATTCCATAGTTGTCAGACCTCCATTCAGCTCAATTCCTTATGCTTCTAAGCGAGGATTGTTCTCTATTTCAGTTGTAATTTTTTTTATTTTTAATTTTTTTAAGATTTTTATTTATTTATCTTTAGATGAGAAGGGAAGGAGAGAGAGAGATTGCCTTTTGTGCATCCTCTGCTGGGAACTGGCCTCTGGGAACTGGCCTGCAGGGAACCGGCCTGCAACCCAGGTATGTGCCCTGACTGGGAATCGAACCGCGATTGTCTGGTTCGCAGGCCCGTGCTCAATCCACTGAGCTACACCAGCCAGGGCTTATTTCAGTTGTAATTTTGATGTGATTGTGTGAAGAGGTGAGCCACGTCTGCATACACAGCCATCTTGACTGGAAGTCCCTTACATATACATTTATAAATCCCAATGTCACAGTCCACCCACATATATCCGAAAGCTTGCTCTCTGAGTCCCAAAGATATGTCTTTGACCTAATTTCATTCTGTGCACTATATATTCAAGAAGCAGAGAATTACCTTCTTTGCTTAAAAAGAAATTCGACCACAGGAACATTATTTTAAAAAGGACATAATGAGCATCCAACCCCATGGATGCATCCCAGTGTTTGCCAGGAAGGGGTCCCAGAGCCCTGGGCTCCAGCAACCCTGTTTCTAAGCTCAAGGCTGAGGCTCAGCATCAGACAGCCTGTTGTAATCAGAACCAAATAGATGTGCAGTTCTGATGTCATGGTTGATGCCTGAATATGGAGAATGGATACATGGCCCTTTGGTCAGGACTCCTGGACGAGGCTTGGCCTTCACCCAGTACCTTGGACACAGGGGAAGGGGATCCTCTGCAGAGCCCTGTGCAGGAGAAGTGGTGTCCCATCTGGGAGGAAGGCACGGGGACACCCTTGAGGCATGAGGGGTGTGGAGCCTCAGGCTTACAGCAGAGCAAAAACAGAGAGGTTGGCAAGGCCCGGGTGGCTACTGCCTCTCCCATCAAAATTCAGAATGGTTGAGGCTCACAATAGAACATCCACTTCCCCTGCTGCTTTGAACCATAGAACTCATTGTTCAGGAGCTGCAGTGTCAAGTACAGCTCCACCACCTACTTGACCTGCTACCACAGTCACCCAGAACCAGGCACACAGTAGCTGCATGTGGAACGTCTGTTGTTTGTACAAATGAATTAGCTGCAGAAGAAACCACAGAACT